TTAAGCAAGCTGTAAACGCCTAGCGCAAACGCAAATTCGGGGTACAAGAAGTGTGCAGGTTAATGGCGTTTTATAGTAGCTCACTGAGCGCGTGCAGTTCACAACTCCTGGACACCGAATGCAGCTATAAGGCAAAACGAGGTCGATGAAGCGACAACAAGATTTGGGAGCGCAGGAATTACATTACATGCACGGTTAGGACGCTTGATTTACCGCTAAGTCCGTTCAGTTTATTGACGTATTAGAATACGAATACGAATTATATGAATACGGAGGGAGCCCAGAAGGGAGCCCGATATAATATGAAGCCCAGAAGGGAGCACGATATCGAGGCGCAAAGTTCAACCTCTTCTTAACGCACTGGCAGAGCGCCGAACGGCCTGTAACTGGCAGGATCGTCGCCGCTCAATTTTTTCCAGCATTGGACCTAGAAATTTGGGGCTCTGAACTTTGTTACAGCAGCTCTAGCGAATACCATGTCTCCAAGCCCAATGTTGGGAATATGGAGGCAGGGTTACGCTTCAGTGACGCGTTGAAATAAAAGATTAAGCCCGTTTTTTTTTTTAAAGTGTTGCGTGTCAAGAAAGTCTGCTTCTCCGCAAAAAGACTCTTTTGCGAAGAAGCCAGCTTAAGTAAAGTAAGCTGCAACCATCGGCGTTTTGAAGACGAAACGTGATTACTAAACCTCCCTATGTTTTGAGGCGAAAGTAATTAATGCCTCGCCGAACGCTAAAATTGACTCCCGGCGTCTGCAGTCGTCCCCCGGGGTCGGCGTCAACTCGAGTGGCGCAAACAGCGACCATCGCGCGATAACGTCACGATATGATGTCATGGCGCATCAGGTCGCCAGAACTTTGGGTATTCACCAGCAGGTGACTATGAAGCCAGCATGCCGCCGCAGTGAGGTCACATAATGTGACGTCACACAAAGAAGTCGTCGCATGACATCGTTCGTCACTCGGTAAAAGGAGAGCCGATCACAGAGGCAGAGCAAAACAAAACGAGGCTCATAAAGTTTGAAAGGCCACCAATCACGGAGTCAACGCAAACCACGTTAGGGGCATAAAGCCTTATCAGTCGAGTGAGCGGGAATCGCAGTACACTGATGAAGAAGGTAAAGGAAATGAAGAAGGCTTAAGCCTTCGAGTGTTCTCAGCATTACTATCTGTGCTTTTGCTCATCTATATTTAGTAATTGCGATTTCGATACATAATTACTTCTTTAATCTTTAAATAGCCTGTATTTTATCTGATAATTAGGAATTTTTTAAACTACCTGCTTCTTGGCTAATCCTCCAGCGTGTGTGTGTGTGACAATGTTAGAGGTTCTACTATATTTTACTGTACTCGTAGGTGGAGGCATATAGGACCCTGTGGGTTCTTACAGAGCGTGCTGTTAGTGCTGTTTAGCGCAAAATTTATCTGGAAGCCAACTTCCGACATATTTATCCACTTCCGGTGACGTAATTAACTTGTATTTCTTGCTCCCGTTGTGCTCATTCATTCATTCATTCATTCATTCATTCATACATTCATTCATTCATTCATTCATTCATTCATTCATTCATTCATTCATTCTGAAGGCCTCTCTCATGTTCTGCCAATAAAGCCGGTTCTGCGCTTGCTGCTGCTACACTGTACCCGCAAATTCGTCTGCCCACCTAACTTTTTGTCTCCCCTTCACGCGTTTGCCTTCTCTTGGAGTCCAGCCTATCCTGCCTACGCGCTACCAGCGCGGCCCATGTCTCTTTCTAATTAACTATTTTTGATTTCAACTAAGATATCCTTAACACCCGTTTGTTCCCTGACACACTCTGCTCTCCTTCTGTCTCTCGAGGTTACACTTATCACATTCGTTTCCGCTGCTCGTTGTGTCATCCACTATTTCAGTGAAACCATCTTTGTAAGACCACAGGTTCCTGCTCTGTAGGTAAGTACCGGTAAGGTGCAACTGTTATTTGTTTTCCGATTGAGAGATAGTGGAAATTACCATTAATCACACGAGAATGCCCGCAGAATGTGCACCACTTCATTCTTATTCTTTTTGCTACTTCAGTGTCATGGTTCGACTTCGTAATAACTACCTTTCCCGAGAAGACATATTTCTTCACCACCTCCACTGCCTCGCTACCCTATCGCAAAGCGCTTGTTTCTCCGAAGACTGCTGTACATTACTTTGGTTTTGTGCATTAAATTTTCAGAAAATGCGTTCTATTTTCCTCGTCCAACTGAATAAATAATGAGCTGATATTTCTACCAAGAGTTACTCATTAAGGCAATGTCATCAGTGAACGGCTCGTTACTAAGGTACTCGTATCCATAACTGCTTCCAATCTAGAGTTCTGTAAACCTCTTGTAAGCAGGCAATAAATAGCTATTGGGAGGTCGTGTTTCCAACTCTTATCCCCTTCATTAGTATTGAACTTTAAGTAAGTTGGTACGGATTCATCTTGATTTCAGCAGGGCACTGAGGTTCGATGACGAGGCCCGTGTTGTGCAGCTTCTTTTCCTAGTCCTCGTCCCTCAGTGCGCTGCTTAAATGAAGATGAATCCTTATCTCCTTCTTTATTAGAATTTCGTCGATTTTATTATGGATGAATATAGTGGCCCTCGAGTCTCTGTAGATTTGTATATTTATTATATAGTATTCTTATATATGATTCTTCGACGCCCCGATTCCATGGTGTGTACATATCTTCAGTTCTCTTTAGCGAATACTTTGTCGTAGCAGGTATATTTATTTATCTAACATACTTTACAAACTCTTGTTAGGGCATAAGATAAGAGAGGCACCCAGAGAAAAGAAAAAAAAAAGCACTGGGAACGTGTACAGTTGAACTATACGAACTGGATGGAACAAATCAGAAACACCAATAGCAGTAATAAAACACCGATTACAAAGAAAATGCAGTCACCAAACGAATGTGCATTAATTTAAATGGCTGTGAAGTGATGCGAGGTGTAGTGAGAGTGTAGTTTCTCGTGTAACGCATTGCTTTTAGTCACTGAAACAATTAGGTTGGGAAGAACATTCCAGAGCGAGATTGCCCGTGGCAAAGCAAATAGGTTGAATGCGCGTGTTCCGCCTAAACATGCGCATAAAGCTGCGCTGATTTTGCTTGAGTGCTAATATGCAATCAGGTGTGCGCAGAGGGAAAGGAGATGTCTTCATGCAGTGGATGCACTTGCGAAACAACACACGAGAGGGAAACCTGGCGGCGGATATCAAATGGCTGTAAATCAATACCAGGTTTATAAATAAATAAATAAATAAATAAATAAATAAATAAATAAATAAATAAACAAACAAATAAATAAAAAATAAATTGCGGCGAAGCCGCCGACAAACGTCTTAACAAATTAAATAAATAAATAAAATTGAAGGTTGGAATTATGTGCTACGTGAATGACATTGCATCTTTGCGCATTAGTCACTATTTTATTCCTTTCATTTTTTTTCTTTACACAGGCCTAATTAAACCAGTGGTAATATTGCAATTTATTTGTAATCTGTTGATCTCATACACTAAAAAAAACACATGATATTGTTGCTACATGATCCAGTTTTCCACATATCAGCAGTGGGTAAGAGCCACAGTGAGAGATGCCATCGACACCGCCGCCAATGGAAGCCTCCACAACAAAATTACTTTGCCGTATATCACCGCCTAATTTCTACTTAAACGGGTTTGGTCTGGTGCCATGCCCTTTGTGATCTAGCTATAACAAACCAGAAAGTGGCGACCATTTTTGATTGAGATGTCACCGTTTGAGAAAATCCAAGGAGAAAATGTTTCAAAATTTTATTCGAAAAACTAGGAATTCCACCTAATATGTTACGGGGTCAGTGACTTCTGTACAACGCAATTACAGAGGAAACCTCAGGCGAGAATCACAATGGCTGATTGGCACACTCGCGCGCCTGTCAGCTGATTCTGTCCTTCATCTTCCTTTAATTCGTAACAGGACCCCCGGGCGTTGGAGCGCCGTCTCTGCGCGAGTCCGAAGAAGTGTGACAGAAGTAGGGTTTCATGCGCGAAACATGAACAATTTCAACAAGTGACGAACTTGGTGACGTAGAGGAGTGAGATGGCGCTATATCGTAGTTGACGTCGCTAACTTGACGTAAGACTAAGTAGGGTCCTGCGTATCGAGACAAAAGCTTTTCGGAGAGACCTACACGGCGACACGGTGACCAGAGGAGCACGCTGTCACCTGGGGCAAACGTTATATTACGATGCCGGGGGTCGTAGCGGACTTTTTGCAAGGACAGAATCACAATGGCTGATTGTCACACTCGCGCGGCTATCAGCTGATTCTGTCCTTCATCTTCCTTTACTTCGTAACAATATACTCCGAACATTATGTCCTTTGGGGCTGCTTCATTGGAATTTAGTGACAGGAACCTCCACAATTATAATAAAGAACTGAGACAGTCAAAACTGTTATTAGAAACCAGGTAAGAGCGTAGGACTAGCTAGCGAAATCAGCGACAGTCCGGGCCGAGCGTCTCGTGCATAGCACTGACAAATTGTTTGCCGAGATTTGCATGACCCACTACATTCATCAATACAGCGGGGACCTTTACGAACTCTTGTGCGACACAAATAGATTACATTATTGAGTCATTGACTAGCTCTCTTTGCAAACCAAGCTTCAATTTAGCGCTTCAATATTACACTGCATTAATTTTAACCTGCTAAATACTTTTGTATTATAAATCATTTCTCTTCTGTCATTTCTTTTTTTTGTTCTCTCTCTCCTTGAGCCGAAATCACCTTTTCGGTTAAACAAACAAAATAGTTTTCTATTTATTTGCATAGTTCTTCATTGATCACTTGCATTAACCGCCAGCTTCTTTGTTAATCTCCCGTAGTGGGTAAGAGCCAGAACAGAGGAGCAAGCAAGAAAGTCACCCAGAAGCACACGCGCAGGTCCTAACGGTTCGCGACAATGTTCGGACTAGCGGGTGTTCTCGAAAATGCAGTCCAAAAAGCAGCGATGGCCGCGGAGGATTTCATCATACAGTTCAACAATCCTCCGGATGCGTTCGGCGGACTAGGACCGGCGTTGCCCCCCTTCAATGGGCCCAACGAGGGGTTCATCGCGCCGGCAGTTCGCCCAGAAAGTCCATTCTTCGGCTTAGCACGTGAGAGGTACCCCGTCATTGGGGACACATCAACAACGCGAATGTGTTTAGGACGAGGAATTGGGGCAGGCAACCCTGCTGGCCAAAGCCACGTGCGTGGCAACCTGTGCCCACCGGACTGGGCCAGGATCCCCTTGCCCAGCTACGAGAAGGACTGCTTCCGCGATCGCACTGTGACCTCACAGCGATCGTCGGAAGAAGTAGAGGCCTTCCGGAAGGCTAATGACGTCGTTGTCACGGCTCGAGACATGCTCGATCCCATCCTGCACATAGAGGAAGCCAGCTTTCCCGAATTCCTCAGAAGAAACATCGAGGCACGCAACACTGGATCGTCGGTGACTGCATTGCAAGCGCAGTGCTGGCCAGTAGCACTACGCGGCCAGGACCTCGTGGCCTTCAGTAAATCAGCTTCCGAAGAAAATGCACTCGACTACTTGGCTCCGGGCATAGTTCACGTACAACGGCAGCCGGCCGTGCCGCTGGGTTGTGGCCCTATAGTGTTGGTTCTGACGGTGACCCAGGAGGCTGCCCAACAGGTAAGGGTTGTCTCTGACCTTCTAGTCGAAGGCTCCGGGATGCGAACAATGTGCATCGTGTGCGGGAATGCGAAGCGGCCACAGCTGAAGCAGCTCGAAGAAGGCGCCGAGATATGCGTCGCAACGCCTGGTCGCCTTGTAGCCTTCATGGAGAACTGCAAGATAAACCTAAACCGCTGCACTTAACTCGTAGTGGACCAAGCAGACCGCATGCTAGCGCTGGGATTCGTCGAGCACATACGCACTGTAGCGGTGAACATAAGACCAGATCATTAGACACTCGTGTGGCTCGTGGACCACACCAGAGACACGCAGAGACTCGTAGAAGAACTGACCGATGACGGCGTGACCATCAGCGTAGGCACGACAGCCCACGAACATCAGAACGGGCCCGTGAAACACATCGTCCATATGTGCGAGGAGTCCGAAAAGAAAAGCTCTTCGCCATCTTAAAGGACATCATTCAAGACGAGGAGGACCGGATCATAGTATTCGTTGAGAGTAAGCAAACGGCGGAAGACCTGATGTGGAGCGTCTGCCTCCAGGGCTGGTCAGCCGTCGGCATCCACGGGAGTCACTCGGAACAAGAACGCGAGTGGGCCCTGAACGCTCTTCGTTTCGGCAAGGTACTCGTCTTGGTGGTGACTGACGTGGCTAAAAGGGCTATTGACGCAGAAAACGTGCGCTCGTCGTCAACTACAACTGTCCGAGCAGTGCGGACGAGTACCGGCGACGCTTCAAGCACGCGGTTGATCGAGACGGGACCGGTGTGGTGTACATCTTTTTGAGACGTGAGGACAGCCGTCACGCAGAGGATCTGGCGCTGTTTCTCGCACAGACCCAAACTGGAAGTGCCGCCGCTACTGCAGGAAATGGCGAAGAAGGTTGCGCCAAGAAGGTTCTCTGGGCCCTAAGCTCTGCAGTACAAAGGCGATCGATAGCGTGATTTTCTTACTTAAGCTTAATTGGCACGCCTTTGACAATTTTCGGCACTCGCTGTAATATTAGCAATGTTTGTTTCCTAAGTACAAATTTGCCCTGACCTACGCAGTATTTCAGCTGCCCTCGCCAAATCGTACAAGGAATAAATCTAATATATTGTCGCTAGGTGAAAATAACAGAATACAGGACGATGGTCCGACCAGAAAAAACGAGGTCTGTATTAACAGAACAAAAGAGCAGCCGCTTCAACTTCTTCTTCCTCGGAGGAACCGTGGGTGCTGTCCACGCTCATCACTTCATCGTCCTCTGTCTTCATTCCCGGCCTTTAGCCGTGACATCAGCCTCCCATTCAAAAAAGCATCGTCCCGATGCTTTATAATCAAAGCGGTTTGTACTCGTTGGAAACGCACGAGTTCGTTCGGAGAAATAAGGCTTCATGCATACCACGTGCACAACTTCTGGAGCATACCTTCGACGCCTTGAAGAGTGCGCAGTATCAGGAACAACCTCATAATTAATGTCACTGAGACGTCGCAGAACTTTATAGGGACCGAAGTACCGTCTTAACAGTTTTTCTGAGAGGCCACGGTGCCGAATAGGTGTCCATATCCAAACTTTCTCTCCTGGCTCGTAGGAGACTAGTCGGTGACGAAGGTTGTACCGTCTTGAATCGTAGTCCTGCTGGCGACTAATACGTAGGCGTGCAAGTTGTCGGGCTTCTTCAGCCAGCTGAGTGGTACAATCAGCCATCCGTTTCAGCGTCTTTGCACTCGTGCGGCAGCATAGCATCCAGCATAGTGGTGACTTCATGACCATGAAGAAGGCGGAATGGCGTTGTTCTTGTTGTTTCTTGATGAGCCGTGTTATAGGCGAACGTGACATACGGCAAGATCTCGTCCCAGTTTTTATGCTCCACATCGACGTACATGCAGAGCATATCCGCTAGTGTCTTGTTGAGACGCTCCGTAAAACCATTCGCTTGCGGATGATACGCCGTTGTTCGCCGGTGGGATGTGCCACTAAGTTTTAAAACTGTGTAATAGTTCGGCCGCGAATGCAGTTCCCCTGTCAGTTATTACCACTGATGGAGCACCATGCCTCAGCACCACATTCTCTACGAAAAATCGGGCTGCTTCACTTGCCGTGCCCCTCTCCAAAGCCTCGGTTTCGGCGTAACGAGTGAGGTAGTCGGTGGCTACTATAATCCATCTGCGACCTGCTGATGAGGTTGGAAAGGGGCCCAAAAGATCCATTCCGACTTGAGCGAATGGAGTAACAGGCACGTCAATAGGATGGAGGAGGCCTGCTGGTTTGACGGGTGGAACTTTTCTGCGCTGGCAATCAAGGCACGTCCGAACATAGTGTTGAACGGTCGCCGTCAGTCTTGGCCAGTAGTATTTCTGCCTCACTCTGCACAACGTACGCGTGTAACCCAGGTGGCCGGATGTTGGTTCATTGTGGCATGCCTGTAATACTTCGCTCCTTAGAGATGTTGGAACGACGAGTAAGTAGTCATTTCCGTGTGGCGTGAAGTTTATCTTATACAGGACGTCGTTGCGCAAGCAAAATGACGAAAGCCCTCTCGCAAACAGTCTAGGTACAGCTGAAGTGCGACCCTCTAAAAACGTATTATGGGTTCTAGTTCGGGGTCGTCTCGTTGCAGCTGTGCGACAGTTGCCGTGTTTACAACTCCGACAAAGGCTGTATCGTCATCTTCTGCCGTCGCAGGTTCGTATGGCGCACGAGAAAGGCAATCAGCGTCTGAATGTCGCTTCCCCGATCTGTAGACCACCGTCATGTCAAATTCTTGAAGCTTCAGGCTCCAGCGCGCCAACCATCTTGAAGGGTCTCTTAAATTCGTCAGCCAGCAGAGGGAGTGATGGTCGCGGACAACATTAAAAGGACGGCCATACAGGTATGGGCGGAATTTTATAACCACCCACACCACCGCAAGGCACTCTTTTTCCGTAGTGGAATAATTTTCTTCCGCACGTGAAAGAGTTCTGCTCACGTAAGCAATTACTCGTTCGGCGCCATCCTGCCACTGCACGAGTACAGCTCCTAAGCCGACATTGCTAGCGTCGGTGTGCACTGTTGTCGGTGCGTCATCATCAAAGTGTGCGAGGACTGGTGGCTTCTGAAGGCGTTGACGCAGCTCGTCGAATGATTTTTGCTGCTCTTCATTCCATACGAATGTGACGTCCTCTCTGGTAAGGCGGGTCAACGGCGAGACAATGCGCGAGAAGTTCTCAATGAAGCGTCGGTAGTAAGCACACAGTCCTAAAAACCGTCTGACCGCCTTTTTGTCAGTTGGCGCTGGAAAATTCGTAACGGCAGCTATTTTTTCAGGGTCAGGCCGCACACCTTCAGTACTGACAAGATGCCCCAGGAACAGAAGCTCTTCGAACCCGAAATGGCATTTTTCCGGCTTAAGTGTTAGTCCGGCGGAACGAATAGCTTCAAATACTGAGTGCAGTCGCCTGACGTGTTCGTCGAATGTGGCAGAAAATACGATGACGTCATCTAAATACGCTAAGCACGTCTGCCACTTGAGGCCTGATAGTACGGTGTCCATTAGCCGCTGAAACGTTGCCGGTGCTGAGCACAAGCCAAATGGAAGTACCTTAAAATCAAAAAGGCCATCAGGTGTCACGAAAGCTGTTTTTTCCCCGGTCTCTTTCATCGACTTCTATCTGCCAATACCCACTCCTTAGATCCATCGACGAGAAATAACGCGCGTGGCGTAGTCGATCGAGTGAATCGTCGATACGTGGAAGTGGGTAGACGTCTTTTTTTGTCACCTGATTCAGCTTGCGGTAATCCACGCAGAAACGTAAGGTGCCGTCTTTTTTCTTCACTAATACAACCGGCGAAGCCCAAGGGCTTTTCGACGGCTGAATAACGTCGTCTTTAAGCACCTGTCGCACCTGCTTTTCGATGGCTTCACGTTCTCGTGGAGCTACCCGGTACGGGTTTTGCCTGATGGGTCTGGTCATGTCGTCCGTTATAATTCGATGTTTCGTCAGCGGCGTTTGACGGACCCTGGAAATCGAAGAGAAACAATCTTCAAACTTGTTAATAAGCTGCATGATACTTTGCTTCTGCGCCGGCAGCAAACTTGGGTCAATATCAACAGATAGAGGTGCGGGGGTCAGATCAGTTGAATTATCTTTTTCAAGAGTTAGGCAGTCTGTCATCTCGGCGAGCTCTTCCACGTACGCGATACGCGACTGCCGTGCCCCTCGTTAGATGTCGGCGTTCAGAGCTGAAGTTCGTAACAAGAACGTGCATGTGTCCGCATTTTATGCTTACGACGCCTCTTGCGATAGATAAACCATGGCTGAATAGCAGTGTTGGAATTTGCTCGGCGATGTTTTCAGAATCGCTCGACGTGTCACATGTCACAGCCACGAGTGCACTCGACCGCGGTGGGATGGTCACGTCGTCTTCGAAGACGCGCAAAGGCTGACGTCGCTGGTCTGTACAGGGCACATCCGAAACTTGATCTGGGGCTGTCCAAAACGTAACCGGTCTCTCAGGAATGTTGATAACGGCACCGTATTCACGCAAGAAGTCCATGCCCAAGATCAGGTCTTTGCAGCACTCCGGTAAAATTACGAAAGTAGCGACGAAATATGAACTGCCGATATTAATTCGAGCTGTACATTTGCCCGTCGGCGTCACCAATTGACCTCCTGCGGTTCTTATGTTTGGGCCCGTCCATATTGTTCTTACTTTCTTTAGGCAGTCGGCGAGTTTACGGCTGATAATAGAGAAGTCCGCACCAGTATCTACCAGTGCTGTTATTGGGTGTCCGTCTATACAAATGTCTAGATTGGCGCTTACGATTTCCGTTGATGTCGGTGACGTCGTATCGTCCTTGGTATCGTGCGTCGTACGATCCGCGGTATCATTCGTCGTATCGCGTCGTAGAGAAGATGTTGGGGGTGTGATAGCATCTCGACGGGCGGCAACCTTCCCCCCAAAGGTCGCAGCTGTTAGTTTCCCCGACGAGGGCTAGGAGATCTGCCCCGGACCACCTCGGAGTAACTGCGCTGCAGCGGCGAGCTCGGTGCAGGTGAAGGAGAGCGGGGTCAACGATATGGCACTTCGGGTTGCTGTGCTTGCGGGCCTGCACTGCTGTCACGGCGGTTATCGAAATAGGCACGAGGGGAGGTTTGTAGAAAGTTGTGATGTCTACGGTCACAGTACGGGCAATTGCGGAAAATATGGCCGGCTTCTCC